ATTATTAATACCAACTTATTTCGTAGATAAATATAGAATATTTATAAATTAAAGCGAAAATTATCTTGGTCAGTGTTGTTAATAGATTAAAATTGCATACTTGTTATTCACTATATGAAATTAAAATATAAATATATAAAAACATAATAACGAAACTTATTAGCTACAAATATTAATTAATCAAGAAATAATATACACAATACTTATTAGAATTATAAAACGTATTTCAAGCATCTAAAACAAGGCCCCGAATCTATTTTAATGCAATTAAATACATTTATAAAACCTCTGAAGAGGAAGGGCTTTTCGAAGTATTTTGAAACTCATTAGGTACATAAGTAATTGACTCATTGTATTTCTATGACCACAATTACCTTTCCATTTGTCGTGTACAGGAACTTGTAAGAAATAACCATTAACATTATCTAAGAAACAAAGTAATAAAAGAAACACGTTAAAGTGTCAAATCAGTTTTGTATAAACTTGTAATGCTTCCTACTTTTTCATGCCTAAACCAAATCACAAAATGCATTTGAAATAAACTGATCAGACCTAGAAATAACTTGACGGTAAAGCAAAAAGTTATTATAAAAGTTAAAGAAACACCCAAGAAACCCTTAATAATTAGATTTCTACATACCCGATACAAATTACATAATGACCGCCCCCCCACGTTATCATTTCATAAGAAACTTATATGATAATCAAGTCCAGGCATAAGGGCGTATGGTAAGTAATGAGATGGAGTGCTCGAGTGAGGCGTGTCAATTTAATATCCGCCGGTGGGCTGATGATGGATGGCACTTTTATTAACCCAGCCGGACGTGCGTCGGTTTACGACGTAAGCTGGTCAATTCTTAAGAAATCCGAGTACTACTTGAACGTACGCGCATATTTAAGATATTTAAGACTAAATGGATACTTGTAAGACGTTGAATATACGAATTCAAATCCTTCTTAATAAATCCTTTTGAGCGTAGAGGATTGAAAATAAGATTACTTGATAACTAACCAATAAAGGCCGGCAACGCACTCGCGAGCCCTCTAACATTGAGATTTTCCGTGAGCGGCGGTATTACTTAACATCAGGTGAGCCTCCTGCCCGTTTGCCCCCTGATCAATAAAAAAAACCTAAAGAGCTATGTTTAATAGGCCGATGACAACTTAGGGATCGATGGAGACTTTTAGCCGAAAACTGAGTGCATGAAAAATAGGTTTTCAACCTAATCACAAGTGTGACCGAATTTAAAGATAGCCAAGGCAAGGAATTGAACTAGACGTTCATCTACTTTTATAGTGTAATTTTTGAGCTGTTGTATTTCAACTAGATAAAGTGATATATGATATATACATATGGATAGCGATTCAAGTATTCGGTAAAACACCTTCAAAATTTTTAATTAGGCATGGCGTTATCGATCTCACTTACAATGGTGTTCTCACTAGACAGCCTCCAACGATTTCTTTGTAAATGTCGCAAAAACCCTGCAGGTATCGTGGCGCCTTTTAAACGATGTATTGTATTGAGGCGCTTGGACAGACTTTTTTTCCTCACCTTAATCAATTTAGGTAGAGCCATGAGCAAATACACGAGTGAAAATCAGCACTGGCACTTTATTATCTCTTATATTTATTGGATTTTGTCAATGCAATCTTTGGTTTGTCCATAATATTAATTGTTTAATTGAATATATGTATATAAATATTGTAAGCGTAATATAATTTGTCTATGAAATACTAATATAATGTAACCGGTAAACTGTGCGAATAAGCAATCCGTTTATGTCTACTATGCGTAAACGATAGGTCCTGTCAGTTACTGTTAAAAAATAAAGAACAAATAATTTTTGTTCCATAACGATATACCTACCAAAATTAACGCTTCTCGAAGGTTTTCCAGAATGTAATAATTGTAGTAAGAGGACCCTTAACACACACTGGTGAAGAAGCAGTTTAATGCCAAGCTATCACTGAACAGTCCAAATTTCGTGAAAGTATAAGATTACTACCTACATATACACCTACCGCAGTTATCCTAATGAAATGTGCCTGATATCCAATATGGTGTAGCATACCTATACATGTTACATTTATACCATATTAAATATTAGAACGTGGGCACCCCACCCACATTACAACCCACCGATGTATTTTTCAATGAGCCTAGCCTACGTGTCGATAGAATAGGCATATCTAGGTAGAATAGACCTCCTCATAGTGAGAAAATTCGCTTTTAATTACATACCGTAAACGGATATTGCTTTCCTGCCGAGCTGTCTGCAGCGGTGGTCCACACACTGCGATCACAGTAAAACCTTTGCGGTAAAAATCCTCAATTGACAGATAAAAAAAACACAAATTCGCGCGATTTCGAATTTCGATACATCAAATTCGAAATAGGAACATGCGCTCGCGTGTCTGCGCGGTTCTCCACGACTGATCGTGAATGCCGAGGCACGCGCGCGCCGGTGCCTTCATTCACAAATCGAATGGCGGGGAGCGGGGAAGCGGCCCATTCATGAGTCTACCGAGGCGTGGTGATCTGCGCCTCTTTCAACATAAATCGTGTACTGCGAAAAAGCGCAAAACGATTTAATTAACTGTTAACTAACCATTGAGAGGGACCTTATGTTTTATAATTGAACTATTCATAGTCAACTTTGAATTCTTATTAACCTGTTTCTGAGGGCCCGGAAACATTAGAAGGCGTCTTTACTGATATAACTTGACAGTAGATAATAATTGTTTCTGAAAAATAATGTCAAATAGGCAGTAGGTAATTTAACAAGGGTCTGTTAACGTTTCCTGTTGACCGTTTGTAATGCGAGTTCGTGACACGAATTCAATTGTATGATCGGCGAAAGTACGGTGAAACTGAACTCTGAATATGCAAAATATATGTACATATATTTTTGTGTGTTTTTTTAAGGCTGACACAACAAAACAAAAATCACACAAAGCAATTCAGCAAGACCGCGTCATTCCTACTAATAGTAAAGGACAGTTTCGTTCACCAATTTCATACACGTCAACGTCTAATTGTATGTATCAAGTACACCTCTGATAAAAATATAAGTTAAACGTGGTTCCAACGTTATTCACGACGGTTAAAATCCACTTAATTCGCAAGAGAAAATTACGCCAACGAGAGCTGGCCACTTGATTATGTAAGTGACAATCGCACGTGCCCTTACCACTTTCCTTTGTTTAAGAAACAGGAAGCCCATGATAAAATCTGGTTCAATAATAGATATTTTATTAGCAATATATTAACACAACTAGCGGGTAGGTACTCGCCATTTCGTTTACGTGGAATATAGCAGTAACTTTATAGATGATAAACGGCTACAATTCATATGGGACATTCATTTTTTTAATAATATACTTGATATTATTAAAAAAATGAACCTAGATGAAATTAGATTTGACAGCTCTGTATTAAGCCAATATAGTAAGATTTTTATCTGTAAAATAAAATATAATATTTTCTGTGGACCTATCACAGATTATGAAATCGGTTAAGCTGTTTTTGTTGTATCCGTAATCAAATACAAATTATTTTAATATTATACTAATAAATTTACTCTAATGTTAAAGTAAGTTAAAACTGATTGTAGGTATAGTACATATAAACAAGTAACAAAAAATGTTTCATTTATAATGATTCACACAATACTAAATCTCTATATAAGATTATCAAAGTCTTTCGTCTTTTAAATGAAGATTATACCGCGTTTATCAAATGATATAAAAATACTTATATAGGTATTTTAAATATCCAATAAAAGTTTTAATTATAAGTAAAGAAATCCATTTATTCTTTGTTACAATCTTTCCCTTATGAGAATTATGGCAGATAATGAAAAACACAAAGTGTAAACCATCACCGCCAAAAATATTTAAGTTTATAGCACATAATTGCAACTTATGGCACCTTTATATTTGTTATATCTGAATCATCAACATTAAGACTGCCGTTTAAAAATCATATTCGCCTTTATTATTTTCGGTATCGGCGCATCTGAGTCACAAGTATATTACGGTTAATGTACGTGTTAAGTAATAAAAGCAGTAATCAATTTGCAGGATAGCATGCGCGGGCACAATAATTAAGCAACGTGGGCGTTGATTGCACTTTCGTGAACTATCAAAAGCTTATTGACTTCTCGATACAAAAATGAAATTACCTCAAGAGAAATGATACGTTATTTTGTTCGGAATCGTTGAATTTAATTTAAGGTTTTTAATTAAATGAAAAACACAACGAGATAATTTATTAAGAAAAACATTTTACAGATCTCTGTTCCACGACTTATGTGATAATAAACTAAGGCATTTCACCCTTGACTAATTTATCTTAATAACCAAAAATACTTAGGCAAAACCGTTACAAGTATAACAGAAGCAATACACTAATGTAACTGTATCACCTCAGGTATTATTATCTAAGGGGTGGACATTCGCTTCCCGTGGTCAATTAAAGCGCCGGACTAGGCCGACATATACAGTTATAAACGAGTACCCTTACTGAGATGAGGAAAGAGCAAAAAGCCTTTTAATGAAATAAATAAATCTCGTTGGGCTACGTAATATATGATTAGATATTGATTTAGACTTCATACTTCGAGAAATCAATTAGTAAAATTTTGCTTTCTTATTCACAATCAAATTTTGTTTCTGATATTTAAAAATCTTACCGTTATTATCATTGAAATACATTACAATTGACTTCGCGATCGTAAGTGTAAGAAAATTAGATATAAAATATTTCTTGCTTGAAAATTTAATTTTTCAAAGTTATATCTGCAAAGTCACTGCAATACAGACGAAATTTATGACTATGATGGAAATAATGTAAAAGTCACCCGTGCCAATTGCTTAGCTAATTTTCTCATTTTTCATTTTGTAACATGTTGTATGTGGTATAATCCCACTGGGCGCGATGCTTAACCGTAACATCGTAATACTTCAATACAACATTTTAAGAATAGATATTACAACTAAAACTTACCTTTGAGACAAAGAGCAACATAGTCCTTATCAGTAGCAGTTCCTTCCAGCAAGTTCCACGATACGCGGAATTGAGATCCCTCCTCAGTCCAGGATAAAGTTCCTTTTTTGGCACCAATGTCATTCTGACAATCTATGGCACCTACGCTATTGGCACATGGTTCATTTTCTGGCACTACAGTACATAAATCAGTCTCACTTTCATTGGTTATTTCACTTGTAACACACTTTACGTCATGTTCTTCGGACATGACTTAATAACACTTATGATATCATTTTTCGGTTTTCAATAAGCTGTTTGAATTTAATAAAAACGAAGTAAGCAAATTAAATGAATAAGCCACTTTAGAAGACAAGACGGTTAAACTAGCTAAATTAAGAAACAAATGTTAAGTGTGCGATGTTTAAGATATTGCTTCATACTAAGAAGGCTGTATGAAGAAGGGGGTGGTATGGGGGAGCGTCGCGACGCCGTGACGCCAGCCTGGTTGGCGCCGACTATAATGCAGTGTATTTAATACAAAAATTGTTAATAAAATCTTCTTCTTTGACATTTAATAACTATGTTAGATATTGAAATGTTCAAAAGCTATCAAAACTAATAACCTTTGTTTTTGTTAGCCCATTTAGTCCATCTACCAAGCAATCCATAAACTAAATTCAATACGCTAGGCATCAATAAATTACACTTTATAAAATACTGTTTACTAATGTCGTCTTTGAAACTGTTTCTTAATTTGACAATAAAGTTTATATAATTAAAATATTCAAAGCTAGCATAGCAAGCATTGAATTAGATATGAATAAGTTTATCTGTTTATACGCGAAATAGAACTTATTTGAGTGTACAACCAACCAGGCTCCTAAAGATAAACCACTCCTTATATGGGTATTCGTTTTTACAACAAACTCTCAGATGAAATTAGAGAATTATCACTAAATAAATTCAAAGCCCTCGTTAAACGAAAATTAATCAATAAGGCTTTTAATAAATTTGAGGAAAACTTAAATGATCCTAATCCTTGGGATTGATTTGCTCCAGTTCAAACAATTTCTATGACTCAATACTTGGCGATTAAAAAGAGTGGCAGTAAGTTTCTTGCCAGTTCTTCTTACCCACTCTACACCCTTGACTTGTGAACTGGTAGTAAATGTAAATTTACAATTATTTTAACTTCTTTCTGCCAATTCATAAGTGTACTTGTTTACCTATATGAATAAAGATATTTTGAGTTTGAGTTTTTTTGGTATAACTAGGTCCAAAATGTGGCACTAGTTCTATGGTATTTATTTGAACACTTAGAATAAATACCAGTTTATTGTCTCAATTAAAATAAATTGCTCATAAGTTATGTATAAAAATTAACTATAAAGATGTTTTCAAAACTTTACTAATTTGAACACTAATAAGTACTGCTGTAAAAAGTATAAAGAGTTTTTTTTAGTTAAATTTCAACTGCAAATAAGTAGCTGTAGCATAATTCGAAACAATGATTTGAGTTAAATGGCTGGTTAATAAAATTACTGGTTCATTGAATTAGATATGAATAAGTTTTTATTACATCTAATATAACTTTTATGTTATGATTATAGATTTTATAGTGCGTGATCAATAACTTGAACATGAACACTAAAAATAAACATACCGTCACAAAAAGCTTCACAAAAATTACTGGTTAATTCACTGATACAACACAACTTAAACAGCTTATATACGAATTAGATAAAATCATACAAATAAGTCGAAATTTTACTAAATAGAAACAAAATTAAATTATAATTTTTTTGGTATCATTGTTTTGCTCTGGTTTCGCAGTTCGCACGGAGTACTAATTTCGATTTGTACGTGTCAGCTGTCAAGTGACAATTTCATCGATAGTTCTGTCAAATTTTTAGGGTTGCCCGATTCTTTGGTAACCATGTTTGGCATAAGACCCAAACCTATGATTTTTTTATTGAATATTCGACACCGCGGTCTTGCAGCTGATATCGTTCTATAAAAAGAGAATAAAAATTTAAATGTACAAAATAATTCATAAACCTTACATAAGTAGAGTACAAGACAGATTACCCTAAGCTATGCGGTAACTGGTAACCTCAAGGCAGGTCATATAC